CTTCTGAATCCTTCTCTTCAAGGCTCAGGGGTCCAAGAATAACTTCTGTGTCTGTGTCAATTGGTTTTCCTTTTCTTTGTTGAAGAGGGTCTGTGCAGTCCTTCTATCTAGTCCGCCATCTTCTGCTCCCCCCCAGATTATAATCTTTATCTTTAATTTTTGAGAACCTATTATATAAGAAGTCCTGATGGTGCAGTTATTAAGTGCTCAACTACTAACCCAAAGATCGACAGTTCAAAACTACCAGCTGTTCTGCGGGAGAAAGATGTGGCAGACTGCTTTTGTAAAGATTTACAGCCTTGGAAACTTGACAGTTCTACTTTGTTTTCCAGTGTCTCTACTAGTTGGAATTGGCTTGACAGTGGTGGGAACTATGATGTAGTTTTGTGTAGATCTTTTTGAGTTTATCCTGCCTGCTTGGGGTTCTTGGAGCTTCTTGGATTTGTAGATTCATGTCCTTTGTTAAATTGGGGAAATTTTCTGTGATTATTTCTTCAAATATTCTTTCAACCCTTTTCTCTGTCTCTTCTCCTTCTGGAGTTCTCATGATACATATATTAGGTTTCTTGGTCTTGTCCTATAATTCCATTAAACTGGGCTCAGCCTTTTTGAGCCTCCATTCTTGTTGGTCTTTAGCATCTGTAATTTTAACTATCTTATCCTCTGATTCACTGATTCTTTCTTATTCCTGATTAAATCCTTCTATTTTTTTCTCATTTCAGTTATTGTTCTTTTCAGTTGAAATACCTTTTTTTTAAGATCCTCATTTTGTTCTTCCATTGTTTTCCTTATTTCTTTTAGCTCTTTATCTGTGTTCCCTTAGCTCTTTAATTATATTTTATGTTGTTTTATATTCTTCCATTTTTTTTTCTTTCATTATTTGATTATCTCTAGATGTACTTTCACTTTTTTATCATGTTCATATGGAGGGGCTGTTGGTGTTCTGTTCTTTCTGTATCTTGTGATTTTTTTTTCCCCCACTGGGGCATTAGAAATTTCAAAGATGTTAACTTTCTCAGTTTTTCCCAGTATTTAGTATCTTTACCTGCAAGAAACTCTTAGGTGTGCAGAGCCTTTGACCTTTGCTTACTATTTCCTCTCCCTCTATGTGATAGTTCTTTTTCCCTCCCTAGTTTAATTGGGATCTGAAAATTTCAGATCCTGTTTTTGAACTTTCAATCTCTCCTAAAAACACCAGAGAATGTGCTATGGTCAGTTAGTCCACTAGCAAGCGCTACCACTCAGGAGAGATACAGTGTACTAATCATTCTCTGTAGGAGCTTTGGTGGGTGGCATAGTGCTTAAGGCACTTGACTGTTAACCAGAAGGCTGGCAGTTCAAACCCACCAGCCACTCCTCAGAAGGATGATTGGGCAATCTACTTCTGTAGTGATACCACCTCAGAAACCCAAGGAGAGGTCGTGATGACACATAATAGCAACAACAACCATTCTGTGCACCAGGGGGTATAGTCTCTAGTTATTACTCCATCCCCTTCTCTGTTTCTGCAGTCAAGTTTTCAGTCAGAAAATACACACCAAGCAATGCCCCTGTGGGGCTGGGTGTTGCCCTCTGGTTTTGTTTGAAGTTTCCTTCCCTGTTCTGTGAGGGCTCCTTGTATCTGAGCTGGCATTCAGGGGAAGCACAGGCAGACATTCCTATATATCAGGTGGTGGAGGGGCTAGCACTCCCCAGAAGTACCTCTGAGAGATCTGTATTGTTTGTTTCAGAGCTCCTGTGGCCCTGTGGTGGTGGGAGAACAGTCTCTACTTAGGTGACACACCCCCTGTAAGGAACTTTCCATAGGAAGTCATATCAGTCCATCAGCAGACAGTTACTGATTGGAGCAGGGGTTGTCATGCTCCAAATGGTCTGCTGAGGAGGTCTACTTTGTTGCTCTCTGATCCCCCTCTGTGGTATGTTGGCTGTGGGTGTAGCATCCACTCACCATGCCTGCTTCCTAGCACACAGTAACCTCTGTCAGCAATTTTCAGCACTTACTGTAAGGGGAAGCAGACAGAGACAAACTGATCCCCAGTGAGGTCTGTCCTTTTGTTTTTAGAGGTATGAGCTATGAGGTGCACAGGGAGGCAGATGAAGTGTTGACTGAAAGCAGACTCCACTGCAAGGGTCTTTTGTAACAATTCCAGTAACTACTTGCAACTTTAACCATTGTGTAACAATTCACAGTAGGCTTGCAACTAAGTGTTTGGGTGGAAGAGATGCTGGCATATTCCAAATAGACCACTAGGGAGGTCTGCCTTGTTGATTTTAGGGCAGAAGCTTGGGATCCTGTCTCATTGTACAGGCAAGGGATGTGGTGCTTAGGGAAGTATGCTGTTTTCCTGGGGCCACTAACCTAGTTTACAGCAGCCAGTGGCAGTGTGTCTTGGGAAGGGGCAAGGATGTTGGGGGCAGCAATTTTCCTACCATATACAACCTGTTGATTTTTCTATGCTTGTGTGTCTGCAGTTCACTGCTGCTTTCCTTTGCACGCTGATTCAGAGTTTCTCAAAGCCGAGCACTGTTTCCTTGGTGTATTTCTTGTTTGTTGGGAATGGTTGGAATGGTGGTTTGTTTATGCTGACATCTTCCCAGAATTACTCCTGTTCTAGTTGTTGTTATGTGCCGTCAAGTTGGACCCGACTCATAGCGACCTCTCCTTGGGTTGCCGAGGCAGTATCACTACGGAAGTAGATTGCCCAACCTTCCTTCCGAGGAGGGGCTGGTGGGTTTAAACCGCCAGCCTTCTGGTTAGCAATCAAGTGCCTTAGGCACTATGCTACCAGGTCATTTTTGAACTCTGGGCAGTAAAAGAGAAGATTCCTCCTGGAGGCCAACTAGGGTAGTGGTAGCTATAAGCAAAGGGAGAGCTACAGGGCAATAAAAGACTGGTAGCTACACACCAGAAACTTTCTCTTTCAATCTTTGGTAATACCTTGAAGGTTCTGTGTTTGGTTTTAACATGGGAATCCAATCTTAATCTGTACACATGTTCAAATAGTATACTATTTCCTTATCAGAATTCATTCAAGTATTTAATTGGAATTTTTTTCTTACATTTTTTTGGTGTTAATCATCTGAACTTTGTATTTCTAGGTCAAGAGTTCAAGAATTTTTAGGGAGCTCTGGTGGCGTAGTGCCTCAGGGACTTGATTGCCAACCAGAAGGTTGGTGGTTCAAATCCGCCAGCCATTCCTTGGAAGGAAGATTGGGCAATCTACTTCCGTGGTGATACTGCCTCGGAAACCCAAGGAGGGGTCACTATGAGTCAGAGATGACTTGATGGCACAAAACAATAACACAACAACAAATAGCTGTTGGTAATAATTTAATTATGTTTATTTTTATTTATTTATACTTACATATTTAACCATCTACCATGATTTTTACCTTGTATCAACAGGATCCTTACTACAGGTTTAATGACATTAACTACAGATGGATTGCTTTGGATAACTGGACCTATAGCAAGAAATTTAAAATCCCCTTTGACATTAGGTATGTGTGTATTTATTTTATTTTATTTTATTTAAGGAGCTTTTCTTCCTTTTCTGTTTAAGCAATAATCTTTTATTTTGTTTTCTTTAGAGAACTCAGTCAGATTAAAGCCTTAAACTACAAAAGTTAAAACAGATTTATGTTTTATTTTGATGACAGTGCCACTGATCTCCACTCATGAAATTGTTTCTTACTGAATTATTTTTCAAGGGGTGCTAATGGGGTTCCCTAGCCCCAGTCCCATTCTTTTGTCTGTATTTTCTCCTCTCTGCTTCTAGTAATTAGTGAAGTGTACACATTTATAATATTGTTGGGTAGGATAAGATGTATGTCATTTGTTCTGTGTGGTGCTAACCAGATACTGAATCTATGTCTTTGGCCTTATTTGTAAGGCCATGAGGAGAAGCATAGATAGTGTTTTCAGTTATGTTTGTTAGGTATTTGCTTTTGAGGCAGACTGTAACTCAATTATATATATCACTACTATTGCTAAATTTTTGTTAAATTAATTTTTGATATGACCATTTTTGATAATTATTTACTGATTTATTTTTCATTATGATTTAAAAAAAATACATTTTACTGAAATATAATTTATGTATAGTGAAATACACAAAACTAAAGTGACATAGGTCAATGCATTTTTTTTTTTTTTCACAGTATTCCCTCCCCTCCCCTCACACCCCTGGTAACCAACAAAGACAGTTACCTTCCATATATAAACTTTTCTTTGACTTTTTACAATAATAACTAATACTATATTTTTCCTTCTGTGATCGACTTATTTTCACTCAGCATGTCCTCCAACATCTTCCATGTTCTGTGTTGTTTTACAGATTCCACATTATTCTTTAGTGTTGCATAGTATTCCATTGTGTGTATGTACCATGTTTGGTTATCCATTATTCTGTTGATAGGCATCTAGGTTCTTTCCATCTTTTTGCTATTGGATAATTATTTACTTTTTTTTTTTTAAAAGAAAAATAAAGCCAGTATATTGATCTCAATGTCATGGAGTTACTGTGCTTCCGGTTCTTTTCTGGAGTTACTATGCTTCCAGTTCTTCTTCTTCTTCTTCTTTTTTTTTTTTTTAACTTTTATTATTTGGGTAAAATTTTACAAAGCAGATTTCTTTTACATTTAACAGTTCATAGACATTTTGTGACACTGATTACGATCCCCACAGTGTAATAGCTCTCCTCCCACTTCCTCCCTGTGATTACCTTTTCCCTGTGTTCTTACATATGCATCCCTGCCTCCCTACATTTCTCCCTGTGCAAATACTGCCCTTCTGATCTCCCATGGTTGATTGTTCTAAGGAGTGCATCTCCCTGGTATAGTTGTTCTGCTTGTAGGCCTGTCTTTTGTTTGGCTGAGAGTTAAGCCACAGGAGTGAGTTCAATTCCAGGGTCCAAGAGTAAGTAGGGGCCATAGACTTGATTCATCAGTCTCTCTCTGACCGTAAGCTAGTTTTTTTTTTTTTTTAATATGTTTTAATTTTTTTCCACATTTTTTCTCCCACTCTATTCAGGATCTCCAATTTTGATCCCTTTCTGAGTGGCTGGCATTGATAGCCAGGTACCATCTAGTTCTTCTGGTTTCAGGTTTTATAGGCTGAGGTTCTCATGGTCCTTTAGTCCTTTGGACTAACTGTTTCCATGTGTCTTTGATTTTCTTGACTCTTCTTTGCTCCAGATGAGGAGAGGCCAATAGTTAAAACTTGAATGACTGCTCACAAGTATTTTTCTTTTTTTAAAATTGTGATATGGGTGAAAGTTTACAGAGCAAATTCACATTCCGTGCAGTAGCTCACATACACTTTGTCACATACATTGACTACAATTTTCCACAGTGCAACAGCTCCCCTCCCATTTCCTCCCCATAGTTACCTCTTCCCTGTGTCTTTCCCTCCATGTTTCCTGCCCCCTGAGCTGTCTCCTTGTGCATACAAGCCCTTCTGTTCTCCCATGATTGTTTTCTCCAAGGCCTAATGTAAATGTTGAGCTCATATGCCTGTCTTCTGTTTGGCTGGAAGCCACAGGAGTGGGTTTAATTCTCGATCTGAAGGGCAGGTAGGGTCCATAGGTCTCAGTGGTTCCATCAGGCTCTATCAGACGAGCAAACCTGGCCCTCTTTTTTTTTTTTTTTTAAATGATTTTGAGTTTTGTTCCACATTGTTCTCCCTTTCTATCCAGGATGTCCTACATAGATGCCCCTCTGAGTGATTGACAGTGGTAGCCAAGAGCCATCTAGTTCTTCTGGTCTCATAGTCTTATAGGCTGAGGATCTCATGGTGTACCAGTTGCTTGGACTAATTTTTTCCATGAATCTCTGGTTGAAAATACAGTTGAATCTTTTCTGTCCCTGTACCACTCTACACTTCCTCCCTCCACCTGTCCAGCTTTCTTCCCTTAACTGCCAGCACAAATTCTGCTTCTGAATCAATTCTGTTAATGTTAGCATGCCCTTGTTTTCCCACTCCCCTCCCCCCAGCCCCCGGCATCTACCCTCTACCTAGGCATTTATACTCATCTTTTCTTTTTTTTTTAAATAATGCCTTTAATGAGATATAATGCACATATTGTACAATTTACCTATTTGAAGTATATGTTTCATTGGTTTTTAGTATACTCAAAGATTTATATAACCATATCCCAATTTTAGAACATTTTCATCATTTCAAAAAGGTGAAATTCATTAGTAGTCATTTCCTATTTTCCCCATCCTCCTACATCCATTCCAGCTCTAGACAACTACTCTATATTCCATCTTTATGATTTGCTTATACTGTACCTTTCTTATAAATGAAATCATGTGATATGAGATCCTTTGTGCCTGGTATCTTTCTATAAGCCTAATGATATTTTCAAGGTTTATCCATCTTGTAGTATATATTAATACTTCATTACTTTTTAACGCTGAATAATACCCTATTGTATAGATACACTGCATTTTATTTATTTTACCCATCTTTAAGTTCCTGTTTCTTTCTTGAAGCCTTTCCCTGTAACATAAACTGTGATAGCACTTAAACTCTAAACCAACAAAATCGTATTACATAATAGAACAGATAGAGAGTCTGTTTGTTTCCTGTGTTTTAGGCTTGAATGCCAACCAGATTGCAGATTCCCTAACTATAGAGACTATTTTAGTTCCTTGTGAGGCTTGGTAGAGTGCCGGGCACATAATTTTCACCCATAAATACTTGTTATCTGGTTAATGTGTTCTTTCATAGATGTCAGTAAATGCAATATTTTGTGTCTATTCTTTAATTTGATTCTCATAAAAAGTTTTTGAAATAACTAGAAATAAATCAGTGCATTCAGAAATTTTAAGTTGTGCTTCCAATTTTGTGGAGATGACTTATTATGAAGAGAGATAAGCTGGATCACTCAAAGAACATAAAAATATATTAAACCAATACTTCTGAAAATTTCATTGAGAACTGCTTTTTAAGAATGTATATTTTCTAAGAAATATTTATTTTGTCAGTTCTTAACTAATAAATAAAATAAGATTTATCTAAGTGAATGTTATATATATCTTGTTTTTAAAAATCTTTTCTTTTTTTAGCAAATGGCAAAAAGTGAATCTGATTTTTGAGGGCATTGACACAGTCACAAAAATCCTGCTGAATAATGTCACTATTGGCAAAACAGACAATATGTTCAATAGATACGTAAGTATATAATTACATTCAGTTAAAAACACACCTCACTTACGCATGTTTGTATTGTTACTGTGAGAAGAGAAAGGTAAGTGCTTAATTGGCCGTGCAGACAAACTCAAGCTGTTTGGAACACTGGGTAAGTTACAATGCTTCTTTGAGCCTTAGTTGCCACATACGTGAAAATGGTGAAAACACTGCATACCCCATACATTTATTCTGAGGATTTAATACACTGTTATATAAAAATGGTTGGTTACAGTTCTTGGCACATAGAAAGCGTTCAACAAATGCTATCCCCTTCTGTGTTATTTGGAATATCCAGAATATTCCTTGGATCCTTATAACATTTTAAAATTTTCAGTTAAAATGCTGTTAATTCATAGTAAAATTTATTCAGAGTTTTATGGTATTTCATAGTTTATAATATTTAAAAAAAAACCCTAACAAAATGTTTAGAAAAAGCACTAGTTTTGATTTATAAATTTAAATAATTTGTTTAACGCTTGTTATCATAATGACAAAATATTTGGTGAACAATTTTGCAAAGATTCTTGCCTACAGCTGCTTTTATCCAAAGCCTTTTAAAATTTATAATTCTACAGAATAAAATGAATGTCATTCTTATTACACATAGGAAAGTAGTATTTCAAAGAAATCTTGTTCTGAAATATAGAGAAGAATATATTGAAATTCTAATAAATCAAGAAAATATGTAATTTAATGAGGATTATATCTAATAATGGGAGCTTTGGTGGCATAGTGCCTAAGGCATTTGAGTGATAACCAGAAGGCTGGAGGTTCAAACCCACCAGCCATTCCTCGGATGGAAGATTGGGTAATCTACTTCCATAGTGATACTGCCTCGGAAACCCAAGGAGGGTCGCTATGAATTGGATCCAACTCAACAGCAGTGAGTTTTTCTTTTTTTTTTTTTTAATATCTAGTAACAAAGAACTGCAGTGGCAAATGCCTAAGGCATTTGACTGCTAACCAGAAGCTTTGTGGTTCAAACCCATCAGCCACTCTGTGGAAGGAGGACCGGGCAATCTATTTCCATAAAGATTTACCACCTCTGAAACCCAATAGAGGTCACTATGAGTTGGAATTGACTTGATGGCAATAGGTTTTTTTTTTGGCATATCTAATACCAATTTCAACATTGGTGGTCTGGTTACTAGACCAGTTCAACTTCTAGTTGGTGTCTAGTTACTAGTCACCAGTAGGTATATTCTAGGGGTAGGAATTGGAGTGGAGGAAATGAGGAAATAACACATGTCAAGTGCCTACTGTGTGTGATGTATCATGTAGGAACATTTTATAAGCTGTTCATTTAGTGAGCGCTTGATTAGTGTATTAGGCTATTTGGAATATAATATCTACCTGCTCTCCAACTTGATAACTTGAAAACATTCAGAGGATCAGGGAGTTAATGTGGTAGACATTACAATGCTGAGATCAGTTTGTTTTAATTGTTGCTGAGTTCCATGTAAGATTTTCATTTGTTACTCAGTTATTGTTGTGTTGTTATGTGCCGTCGAGTCAGACCCAAGTCATAGTGACCCCTCCTTGGGTTTCTGAGGCAGTATCACTACGGAAATAGATTGCCCAACCTTCCTTCCAAGGAGTGGCTGGTAGGTTTGAACCGCCAGCCTTCTGGTTAGCAGTCAAGTGCCTTAGGCACTATGCTACCAGAGCTCCTATTGTTCAGTTAGTTCATTCAAATACTGTTTACCACGAGTGCCTCTGGTAATAATAGGCCTTAGTGGGATCATGCTGTACAGTGGCTCCCTGTGTCAGGTGCTTAGGGATAACATAGCACAGCAGGAAGTGAAGTGGGGGAGAGAGGTGGAGAGAGAAAAAAGATTTTGTATGCAAGTGCATAATATGTGTGAAATGCTTTACTTATATAATCTCATTTAAGTTAAACTTTAAAGCATCCTTATGATGTAGGTGGTATTGTACCTATTATGGAAAGGAAGAAACTGAAGTTGGATAGTTTGAAAGTTGGATAATTTATGGTGTTGAGTCTGTTCTGACTCATGTTGACTCCATGTGTGCCAGAGTCAAACTGTGCTTCGTAGGGTTTCAGTGGCTGAAGTTTAGGAAGTAGATTGTCAGGCCCTTGTTCCGAGGTGCCTCTGAGTGGACACAAACCTTGAACTTTTTGGTTAGCAGCCAGTCAACAGTTAGTGAACTGTTGCCACCACTCAGGGGCTCCAATTTGTGCATGGTAATGTTTTAATCCTGGTCTACTGTTTGTCCCCCTGGTCATCTTCTTTGGAAGAATCAGCCACTGCAAACCCTGTGGAGCACAGTTATACTCTGACATAGATGGGGGCCATGAGTCAGAATCAACTCTGTGGCAACTAGTATCGTTTATCCAAAAGCTTTGATCTCCCAGTTTGCACGATGTGTTTCCCTAGAGCGGCTATTGGTATTAACTGTGATACCAGTAAATGCACACCAAGGAGGATTCTCTTAGCCTTATAGCAAGAATTACAGTTTCACGGGAATCAAAGAACTGACAATTTTTTTTTATAGAAATCATTCCTCATTGTGTAGTAGGCACTTAGTTTCCGTTAAGGAAGATGGAAAAGTTTGGAAGTAGATAGTGGTGGTGATTGTACAACATGATGGTTATAACTAATGTCACTAAATTATACATGAAAAAATGTTGAAATGGCAAATGTTTTGTTATATGTATTTTTACCATGATAAAGAATACAAAAAGAAAGAAAAAAATTCCTTTCTTTCTAAAATAATTATACAAAAAGATTGTATCCTGATCTCTCTTCCCTTTCAAGGGTAGACTTTTCAGAACAAAAATAACTTAAGACTTAGAAATACATACTAATTATACCACAGGGTCAGGTTGTCATGAGTGTCTAGGAAATCCTTGGCAGTTCAGTGCCATTTCTAAATAGCCAGAGCAGATATTCCAAGGAAGAGGTATTTTTTTTTGTTCACTCCGTTACCCTAGGACTATCCTTCTGGCAGTAAAAATAGAAAGGAAAACCTAGAGATAAGTGTTTGTATGGGAAATTATGCTTGGTTGTAAATAAAAATGGGCAGATAACTTATATTTTGGAGATGCTTCCTACTATAAAGAGGCTAAACCTAAACATTTGAATTATCTTATGCATCTTTCATAATTCTTCATATATTCTGCTGCTAACCAGCAGGCTGGTGGTTCAAACACACCAGCCACTCCTCAGAGGGAAGGTTGGGCAATCTACTTCTGTAGTGATAGTGCCTCGGAAACCCAAGGAAGGGTCGCTATGAGTCACGTTCGACTCGATGGCACATAACAACAACAACAACATCTAAAATTTTACCCATGAAAGCACATCATGAGTTTGTCTGTATTGTTTCCTCTTGATTCAGAGCTTTGATATCACCAATGTGATCAGAGACATGAACTCCATTGAGCTGCATTTCCAGTCAGCAGTGTTGTATGCAGCACAGCAGAGCCAAGCTCATACTGCCTACCAGGTGCCGCCAAACTGCCCTCCACTTGTACAGAAGGGTGAATGCCATGTCAACTTTATTCGAAAGGTAATGATCTGTCAAATGGATAGAACTTGGCTTTGAGAATTGACTGTGGCAGCATATGAAATGCTTGAATACTCCAGTGGCATTTCAGAAGTTGGGCATCTCTCTCTTGTCCACCTCAGTGGGATTTGAAAATCTGAAATAAGAATCAAAAGATTATCTAAATTTTTGTGAAGAATCTCCTGCTTTCTAACTTTTATTTCTGAAGTATGTTTCAGAACTTAGGTAACATCAGAAAAAGAAGAAAAATATGTGATCATTCATAAAATGATAGAACTTTATGAATTATTTGTTAACATGTAGGTTCATCCAACTTTCCACCAGACTGTGAAGTTCACATTTATTAGTGATTCTTGTTAATAAGAAGCCTTATGCAAATATTGACATGTTTGCTGATGTGTTCTCATATTTACTGCTAGGTTCTTGTAAAATCTAACATTATTTTTCTCTTAGGTCTACATGACTTGGATTTATTCTAGTGCATGCTTGAAATAGTATTCTATCATGTGTTGGCAATATTTAATATTACCAACAAATAGGATCTTTGAGTTGTAAAGATTCTAAAGATTTTTGCCAGCACCCTTTTGGATAAGATGTCAGCTGATAAATTCTGATTATTTATGACTAGTTAAGTAGCTTTATTTTGGTTGGATGGTCTTACTGTGAAATTTTGTTTCTTAGTACCTATATAAGGAGCCCTGCTGGTAAAATGGTTAAAGCCCTCAGCTGCTAACCAAAAGACTGGTGGTTCAAAACCCACTTGCCCATGGCTTTGCAGTAGAAAAGATCTGGAGATCTGTGCCTGTAAAGATTGTTGTTGTTGTTGTTGTTATGTGCCGTCGAGTCGGCCCCGACTCATATACCCTAGAAAATCCTCTGGGGCGGTTCTACTCTGTCATATAAGGTCATCATTAGTCAGAATTGACTTGGCAGCACACAACAACAACAACAGTATCTATATAGGTACTGAGGTCAATATTATACCTCCTCCTGTTTGCAACCTACCCAAACTTGTGTCAAGTTTTTTAACCTTTTGTTCATACTGACGTAATTGAACAGTCTTAGAATATTTCTGTGGCAATACTCAGCAGACAAGTAAGTATTCCATGGAGCAGATATATTCTGTGTAAGATTTATCTTTTGAATTTTTGCCATTGGCACAGTGATTTGAACCCTAGAGGTTGTATTTTTTCCTTCTCCCCTTTTGTCTTTAAAAACCAATTGCCATCAAGTTGACTTCATGTATGTTGGAGTAGAACTGTGCTCCTTAGGGTTTTAAGTGGCTTGTTTTTTGGAAGTAGATCACCAGACCTTTCTTCTGAGGTACCTTTAGGTGGACTTCAATTTCCAGTCTTGGAGTTAGTAGCTGAGTGAGTTAACAGTTTGTACCCCCTATCTGTCTCCATCTCTCTTCAATCTTTAGCTTTCTGTTAAAACCAGGACAAACTAGATCCTAATGTGAAAAGAATAGATACAGTTCTTTTTTCAGGTTGTCAATAAAGATAGTGTATGTTTTATACATATAGTCATGTAGTGTTTTCTCTCTACCCTCTATTTAATATAAACGGATTCTCAGGTTATCTAGATAGAAGATCAAAGCTTTTTGTCACTGAAATCATGAATCAGACCCAGATTTCTTCTGTCACAGTTAGTGGGACACTAATTCTGGGCAGACTTCCCAGAGCAATGAATTGCATCTTTTTTTTTTTTTTTTTT